TCCTCACCAACACTTGCTGTTTATTGATTTGTTTTGATTTGCATCTCTCTGATGATTAGTAACGTTGAACATTTTTTCATATAACTAGTGGCCATCTGTTTGTCCACTTTGGAGAAGTATCTATTTAGGTCCTTTGCCCATTTTTTAATTAGATTATTTGTCTTCCTTTTGTTGAGTTGACTGACTTCTTTATGAATTTTGGAGACTAACCCCTTAGCCTATGTATCATTGGCAAATATATTCTCTCATACAGTGGATTCCTTTTTCATTTCGAGGATGGTTTCTTTTGCTGTACAGGAGATTTTTAGTTTGATGTAGTCCCATTTGTTTAGTTTTTTCCTTTGTTTCTCTTGTTCAAGGAGATGTAAAGGTAAATATTCAACCATGTGAGATGTCTGAGATTCTGTTGTCTGTTTTCTTCCAGGATTTTTATGGTTTCACAACTTGAATTTAAATTTTTTATCCATTTTCAGTTTATTCTTGTGTATGGTATAAGTTGGTGATCTAGTTTCACTTTTTTTTGGCATATACCTGTGCAATTTACTCAACACTATTTATTGAGACTATCTACTCCACTGAATGCTCTTGCATCCTTTGTCAAATATTAATTGAGTGTAATGGCTTGGGTTGATTTCTGGGTTCTCTGTTCCATTCCATTGATCTTTATGCCTGTTCTTGTGCCAGTACCAGGATGCATTGATTACAATGAGCTTATAGTATACCTAGAAGCCTAGTGTATGAAATTCATGCACTGAGGGGTGGGGCAGGGGGTCTCTCAGCCCAGCCGGAGCCCTTTCACATCCAGGGAACCCCTTGCTCCTTACCGCATGCCTGCTGGCTCCTTACCACTCAGCTCGCTGCTCTTTAGCACTTCCGCAGAAGCAAGAGAGGCTCGCCACTCATGAGCCCAGCTTCCGGCTGAGCGGCACTCCCCCTGTGGGAGCACACTGACCACCAGGGGGCAGCTCCTGCATTGAGAATCTGCCCCTGGTAGTCAGTATACATCATAGTGACCTGTTGTTGTTCTGGTCATTCGCCATAATAGTTGCTTAGGCTTTTATTATATAGATTTGATATCTGGTGATCCCTCCAAATTTGTTCTTTCTGAAGATGCAACAGCTATTCAGGATCTTTTTTGATTCCATATAAATTTTTGCAGAGTTATAATTTGTCAATGGCTAACTTTCTCCATATTATTCTGGCTCTGTGAAATATGCCATTGGTATTTTAATAGAAATTGTATTGAATCCATAAATTGGATGGACATTTTAATGATGTTAATTCTTTCAATCCATGAACATGGAATATGCTTCCATTTGTTTGTATCTTCCTTTACTTCTTTTTTTCAATGTTCTGTAGTTTTCTGAGTACAGGTCTTTTACTTCCTTGATTAAGTTTATTACAAGTATGATATATATTTTTTGTTGCAATGGCAAAAGGGATTGTGGTGTTTTTTTAGTGGTTTTTGTTTTTGTTTTGGCTTTACTCTCTGGGAGTTCATTATTGGTGAATAAAAATGCCATCAATTTCTGAATGTTGATTTTATATCCTGCTGCTTGCCTAATTCATTTTTTAAATCTATTAGTTTTTTTGTAGAATCTTTAGGGTTTTTTATGTAAATATGTCATCTGCAAATAATGACAGTTTTACTTTCTCCTTTCCAATTTGGATGCTTTTTTTTTTTTTTTTTTTTTTTTTTTTCATCTGTGTGATGTCTGTGGCTAGGACTTCTAGTACTATGTTGAATAAAAGTAGCAAAAGTGAATATACCAGGCTTGTACCTGCTTTTAGTTTTGCCCATTGAGTATGATGTTAGGTGCAGGTTTTCCTTACATGGACTTTATTATATTAAGGTATGATCTCTCTATTCCTACTTTGCCAAGAGTTTTTATAAAAAATGGTTGCTTGATTTTGTTGAATGCTTTTTCTGCATCTATGGATCTGATCATGTGATTTTTATTTTTAATCTTGTTTATGTGATGTATCACATTTATTGATTTGCAAATATTATACCAGCCTTGCATCTCTGAAATAAAAAAAAATCATGGTGTCTGATCTTTTAGTACATTGCTAGATTTGATTTGCTAATATTTTGTTGAGGATTTTAGCAACTCTATTCATCAGAAATATTGGTCTATAATTTTCTTTCTTTGTAGTGTTTTTATATGGTTTCGGAATTAGGATAATGCTGGCCTCCTAAAAAAAAGCTAAGAAGTCCTCCTCCCTCTTGAATTTTTGGGTATGTTTTAATATTTATGTTTACATAAATAAGTTATTGCTCATGAAGCTTCAAATTATTTATGTTCCAAAGTGACAGTTGTATAACATGTATCATTTATAATTTTTGTATTATTTAAGTATATTCATTAGCATATGCTATCCATGCAGTGGCTAACCATCTTTTTAGGACAGTTCTATAGTGATATGGTAAAGAAAAAAAAAAAATTGAAGTCAGACTGTCTGAATTTGAACCCTCTTTGCTTCATTTATGATCCGTGATTTTCTTAACCTCTACTCGCTAAGTCTCCTAAAATGTAAACAATGGACATAAATAAATATGGAAGCACTTTGAAAGATGTCTGGTACCAATGGGAAACCTTGGCAAGAGATTGGAGGATGGGAGTGGATAGAGTTTGGATACTTATCTTCCAAGCTTCCTCTTTGCAGAACTATGATTTCTCAATAACTGACTTTCCCCATATTTATAGCTCCTCTCTTATAGCTCCCCCGCTGGCCTCTTTTCCTTGCTTCCAGCTCTCATTAGGATCTGCCACACCCTTCCTTCTTCATACCCTTCCTCAAACCAGAGCTGGGGGAAACGTTATGATGTTTCTTTGTGTCTCTAATCTTTTTTGTGTTTCTCTTGTTCTGCCAAAACCACTATAAATAGCTCCTTTATTAATTTCCCTTCAGTTATATCCTTTTCAGTGTGGCATTTGTCTCCTGCTGGGAGGTGTGATACACAAAGAGGATCGTTTTTCACTGTGACAATGGTGGGCAGGATAAATTTTAGGGGCAAAATATTTGCTTCAGAAAAATCAGTGAGGAGGATTCAGCAATAATCTTGGTAAAATATGGTGATTGCCTGGCTTGGGTAAAGGTAGTAAGTACTGATATATTTGAGAAACAGTTTGCAGTAAAATATTTGAGAAATATTTAGATTTCATTGTATCAGTGACTGATGGAATGCAGATGACAAAGAAGAGGAAGGGCTCAGAGGTGAAGGCCAGGTTTCTAGCTCAGGAAGTGACAGAGGATTTGATCTTGTTTATGACTAACAGAACAGAAGTTCAGCAAAGCTTTTAAATGCAAGAACAGAGTAAATTTACTGGGGAAAACAATGAGTTGTTTTTCTCCATGTTGAGTTTGAGGTGTCTGTGGGGCATAGAGTGGGGATGATAATCAGACCTGAAGAGGTACATGCAAGCCCAAAGCCTGGTATAATGCTTTGAATTTTAGGTTTAGACTTGGGAATCATCAACTACAAATGGCAGTTAAAACTTTGGGAGTGATGTTAGGGAACACATGCATTTAAGAATGAGCAGAGGAAAAGTAGCTATAAAAAAGAAAGAGAATAAATAGCCAAAAATCCTATATAATAAAAGGGTAATATGTAAATTGACCCCTCGTCGGAACTACCAGTCACTATGACACACACTGACCACCAGGGGCAGACGCTCAACGCAGGAGCTGCCCTCCAGAAGCCAGCTGACAGCTGGAGAGCACAGTGGCGGTGGTGGGAGCCTCAACTGCCCCCACAGCAGCCTAAGAATGTCCGACTGACAGCCTAAGGATGTCCATCAGTCAAACATCCCCCAAGGACTCCCAGACTGTGAAAGAGCGCAGACCAGGCTGAAGTACCGCCCCCCCTCCACCCCCTGTGTATGAATGTCGTGCACCAGGCTTCTAGTTTATAAGAAGAACCAAAACAATGTACTCAGTCCAAAGGCCAAGGGAGTCAAGAGTCAGAAATAGATAGGAGTTATCAAGACTGTCAGTTGTAGAAATATCAAGTGATCAGGATTGCTACTACAATATTATTTTACTACTGAAAATACCTATTAGTTTTGACACTTTTTTTTTTCAGAGACTTGCTATAGGTACCAAAATAGTGCATATTTCCAGCACAGTGACCAAACACATTATTGGGCATTTGGTAAATCTTCATTAACTTTTCTAAAAGTATTTACAAAAATTCACACAAAGTAAACAGTAGAGATTGAATGCCAATTTCAAAAGTTATTAATAAATTGTATAAATCCTATATAATAAAAACCTAGGTAGCATGATGCCGTCATGCGACATCGCCACAAGATGACCATCACAAGACAGCCAGCAGGGAGGCCAGTCGGGAGTGATCGAACCAGGAGGGAGGACAGTTGGGAGCAATTGGGCCAGCAGGGGAGTAGTTAGGCATCAATCAGGCTGGCAGGGGAGCAGTTAGGGGGTGAGGGGACGATCAGGCAGGTAGGCAGCAGCAGTTAGGGGCAATCAGGCAGGCAGGTAGGTGAGTAGTTAGGAGCCAGCAGTCCCGGATTGTGAGAGGGATGTCCCAGATAACAGAAGGTGCAGGCTGGGGTGAGGGACCCCCCCCCATGCATGAATTTCATGCACCGGGCCTCTAGTTTTATTAAAATTCAGAATACCACTTTAACTTTGAAAAAGTTAAAACAGTGATGTAGAGAATAAAGGCTTGACTACTTTGGGTGAACATGTGGCCAGGGTAAGCAGCAATCCAGAGGCTACAGACTTCTTAATCAAGTTTGGGTCCCGCTAGGTAAAATGGGTCCTTATTGGTAGCCGCTGAGGTTGAGGGGGATTCTATCAAACAAAAATGGTGAACATTTTATGGTAACATGTATAAGGCATGACCATTGGAACTTTTTCCAAACATGTAATAGATCTAATGGTGAAATTTTTTTGAACATTATTGAATAAGAGATGCTGGTGGTAATATCTATAGGATTAATACAATCTGTGCATGTGTGGGGAAAAATTACCTTTTGATGTAAACTTAAGTGGCACACATCTTCCTTGGATATGCAGGGATTTCCACCAGCTTTCCTAGAAGACAGGCAAATGAGCAGGTCCCAAGAGCCCAAGTCACCTAGTAGCAAAAAGCATTGAAAAAAAAATTATCAGATTTTTTAAAGGCAGCATTTACTTCTTCAGATTAAAGAATGTAATTATTTTGGTCCTAAAACACAGGCAACAACGATTCTGATTATATTTAAAAATCAATATTTGAAGTTCAACTTTCCTAATTTAGCAGAACTAACATTTTTATATTTAGCATTGTTCCCTAGGAAAATTCAATTATCTGAAGCAATATCAAAAAATTTCTGGGCTGAAGCCGGTTTGGCTCAGTGGATAGAGTGTGGGCTTGTGGACTGAAAGGTCCTGGATTTGATTCCAGTCAAGGGCATGTGCCTTGGTTGCGGGCACATCCCCAGTGGCGAATGTGCAGGTGTCAGCTGATAGATGTCTCTCTCTCATTGATGATTCTAACTCTCTATCCCTTTCCCTTCCTCTCTGTAAAAAATCAATAAAAATATATATTTTAAAAATTTTCTGGAAAAAAACCCTAAAATTGAAATATAAAAAATGTATAAAGTCTTATTTGGAAATTGGGAGGAAATAGTGATAAGTTAAAACACTAGATATTTATTTTTGGACTTCGGCAACACCATTGCTTTTCATCAGTCTTAAACATCAAATATACTTTCATAAGATTTCTTACAGAGAAAATATTATGGTAGGCAGAAAATAAAATTCAATGAAAAATTTAAGATGCAGGTTTTGTCCAAAAGAAATTTGTAGACAGCACAGAGTTAGATCAAAATACAGAGTAAAACATGGACCAAAGCAAATGATATTTCATTTATTTCACCAAGGACAAAGTTCTTTGCCAATAAATCCTAGTAACTTATCAAAATAATCTCAGATGAGTACATTCTCACATAATGTTTAAACATTTAAAAGTTAACATTTGAAAAAAAAATTAACATTTGCATAGATTTCACTTATTCTATTTGATTTACTTACATAAATTTTTATCAATATGCCTTACATAAAATTTGTGCTTTAAAAATATTTGTCATGCCCTAACTGGTTTGGCTCAGTAGATAGAGTGTCAGCCTGTGGACTGAAAGGTCCCAGGTTCGATTCGATTTCAGTCAAGGCATGTACCTTGGTTGTGGGCACATCCCCACTAGGAGGTATGCAGGAGGCAGCTCATGGATGTTTCTCTCTCATTGGTGTTTCTAACTTTCTATCCCTCTTCCTTCCTCTCTGTAAAAAAGCAATAAAATATTTTTTTAATAAAATAAATTTTTAAAATTTTTGTCAAATTAATGAATAAGTAAGTAGCCCATGATAAGGTAGTAAACACATTTGTTCAGAAAGGGTAATCAAATGGGTAAACAAAAAATAACCAGAAAAGGTTATGTATAAAATAATTGATATTATTTGGAAAACTCCCCTTATTTTGGATGGAAATCCAGTTTAAAAAATTAAGCAGTTTCTGTACACCTGATCTTTTGTTGACCACTTGTGACATAATGTTCCTTGGAGTAACTATGCCAGACCTCACAAGTCATTTCCCACAGCAGGTATTAGTGGTCTCTAAAAAGAAAAGAAACAATGTCTCCAAATCTTATCTTTTAATAGTTTCCCGGAAGGCCCTGGCCAGTGTGATTTAATTGGTTGAGTATTGTCCTGTGCACTGAAAGGTTGCCAGTTCAATTTCTGGTCAGGGCACATGTCCAGGTTGCAGGCCTGATCCCCAATTGGAGTAGGTTCGGGAAGCAGCCAATTGATGTTTCTCTTTCTCTCTTCTTCTCTCTATAAAAAAATATTTTAAAAAATAAATAAAAACTTTTTTTTTTAATTCCCAGAAAAATATCTCACTTGAGAGCATAATACTTTCAAAGAAGGGCTTTATAGGAGAAAAAATAAAACGTAATAAGGAACTGTGATAATTAGGAATGAAATTCCACTCTTCACTAACCAAGTCTTTTACAAGTTGAGAAGCTCTGTGCTGTCTGGGCTATTAGTTCCTCTGTAATTGTTCCGTTGCTGGAAGAGAAACCTTTCTAACAAAAGTTGATCCAGGAAATTGAGCTCAAGTTAACATATGAGCTCTTGTCCTAGAAATTCTCTACTTGCTTGTTGTATCCCAAGACACTGAAAGATACCCAACAGTTCAAAGGACAAGGAGAAATGGTGCTGTGATTTGGGAAGGAGAGAGAAATCTCTACATGTAATTGCTATCAGGCCTTAGGTTTGAAGGGTCTACCCTGTTCCACTCACCCTCATTTTAAAGAAACTACAAACATATCCCATTAGCCCAATCCAAATAGCCAATGATTCCAATACTTTAAATCTGGCATTTAAAAAATCTTTATTGATTTCAGAGAGGAAGGGAGAGGGAGAGAGATAGATGCATCCTATATAATAAAAGGTTAACATGTAAATCAACCAAACAGCGGAACAACTGGTCACTATGATGCCCACTGGCCACCAGGGAGCAGATGCTCAATGCAGGAGCTGCCCTGGTAGTCAGTGCACTCCCACAAAAGGAGCACCAATCAGCCAGAAGCCTGGCTCACTGCTGGTGGTGGTGGCAAGATCCTCTCCCGCCTCAATGGCAGACAGACATGCCCTGAGGGGTCCCAGACTGTGAGAGGGTGCAGATCAGGCTGAGGGACTTCCCTCACCCCCAGTGCACGAATGTCATGCACTGGGCCTCTACTCAATAATGAGAGAGAATCATTGATCGGCTGCCTCCTGCACACCCTCTACTGGGATCAAGCTCAAGACCCAGATATGAGCTCAGACATGGAATTGAACTGTGACCTCCTGGTTCATAGATTGCCACTCAACCACTGAACCACACTGGCCAGGCCATCTGGCATTTTCAACCAAAATCCTTGATGTGTTCAAAAGGAAAAACATGAAGACTATGTCATTCAAAATTATTTCTAGCCCAAGAAACATTATAAACTTAGAAGAAATGTCTTAATATACTCAACTAAATATTTTAGGAAGATATGAATATGCAAAGAAAGAATTTCAAATTATGGACTCTATTGTTTGGGTGTTAAAAACAGAGTACATTTTTTACATTTCCCTTTCACTACCCAAGGCACACGCACAATTTCTCAATTTGATAGAAAAAAAAATATTAAGCCATAAATGTTTAAAAATGGAAGACACCTTTAAATAATTCAACACATTCAATTTATCAAGAACCTCCTATGAACAGAACATTGTAGTAGAAATATGAAAGTAACTAGCAGAAAGAAAAAGAAAAAGAGAGAGCAGTAACTGCCTTCAGCAATCTATTTGAAGGATCTAAACATTAAAAAGAATTTAGAATAACTTATACAGCATCGCATAGTTTTTGAGACTCCTAAGAGTTACCCATCAGCTCTCAAAAATATTTAATTAATATTTAAAGTTTTAAATGAATATTTAAAAAATACTCCATCACATATAAATTTTACTGTAAAATGAATAAAGTAGAACTGAAATTTTCAAGTCATTTCTTTATACTTCTTACCCAATTCTTATTACCATGACCTGAAAAATACTGATTGTTTCCATTCAAAATTCCCATTGCTGCACTCATTAAATTCTACCTCAAACTATTTTCCAATTAAATATTTAATAGACCTCTTTCACTTTCTCTTCAGTTCTTTCTCCAACATTAGAAATAAACTACCTCTGCTGACTCCCACAGCCCTTTTTTAGAGTAGAAGCTTATTTATTGCATGAGTGTTATTCTGCATTCAAAGTTGACTTTAAAAAAAAAAAAAAGTCACACTGACTTTGTAGAAACAGGGCAGAAAACAAAGCACATTCCCTAGCTAAGTAAATCACACTCAGAAGTCAACCGTGGAGCATTTGGGATACAGTTTGTGCCTCAGCAAAATTACAAATTACTGTACATTGTGAGCTTTGGGTCATGCTCACATAGTTGAAAGCATGAGACTGTGTACGCACATGCCCAGTATTTCACCACGAGACTACAGGCACACAGGAAGAGTCAAGCCCACATGTGGGGTGCATGTGGCCTGAACAGTGTTTGTTTTGTTGTGTTGTGCCGTTTTAAGTATTTGACAAAATGCAAATGTCACATCAAAATCCAGTTCAGCCTTCATGTGAAAACTGGGCAGCATCCCGGTCCATGCCTGCGTGGTAGCCAGTAGCTGGGGCTAAGTACAACATCCCACACATTCTCTGGTTGACCATAACGGCCCTGCCTGCTCTAACGCTGTGTGAGCTCCACCTGTAGAAGCAGAAAACAGTGCTAAACCTGATGTAAAATACTGGTCAGTCAGTGTCCATTCAATTGCTCATTCAGCAAGTTGATGATCCATGTTTCAGCTTTTAATGAATTACACTGATCATTGTGTACATTGATTTTGATGAGCTGACTTTAGGCAAGTTGATATTTGGTCAGTTGGTCGTAAAAGCATATGTGACTACACCCTTTGATTTCCAGATTTGGCCACAGTCTCCTGCAAGGTTGAATAAGGTCACCTCAGCTCTGAAGACATTTTATTGGCTGGGTTACAGTTAGAGAGGACTGAAGGGTGACTTCTTCGAGTTGTTCTTTTTCTCAGGAGCCGGGAAAAGGCAAGCGTTGCCCTTGACCTTGTTTCTCATTTATGTCTCTTCTCTGGTTGGATTGCTAATGTGGCTCAGGTCCCACTTCAAGGTTGGTTGGCTCTCATTCTTTTCTCACTCACACTCCCTCTTTGGACTCTTTCCACATTCGGCCTGTCTCAGGGCTGTTGCCACAGTTATAAATTGCCTTTCGAGGACAGGCTCTTTCGAGGCATTGGGACAAGCATGCTTGGTGTTCACCTTGCTTGGTGTGTTTCTTCTGCCCCCACAAGATTGATATCAGAGTGTAAGCTCTGAGAAGGCAGATTTGGATTTGAGGGAAAACAGGTAAAGTGGGCCAGAAAGGTTAAATAAGTGGTCCAAGGTTAGCCAACTAGTTAGTGGTGGGAAGAGAATTTTAATGCATGATCTCTAGCTCTAGAGGCCATGTTTGAGACCATTAAATCATTACTCCTTAAAAAAAAAGATAGAAAA